AAGGTTTGCTAAGTTCCTCTTTACATTCCTTTAGCACCCTTGCAAACAGTTCTCGGGGCCTGGGATTTGTTAGGTTTTAGTTTCTCTATTTGTCTGAGGATCATGTCACTAGTTACCGCAATCGGCATATTTTTAATTATCACCTGTTCTACATAATCTATTATTTCGGGAAATATCACTGTATTTTCTGGGTGAAAACTGAAGGAAGTAGGTATTTAGAATTTGACACATATCCTTATCACTGTCAGTGATCTGACCAGAGTTACTCTTAAGTGGGCCAATCTTGTCCCTAATCTTACTTCGTATACCTGAAAGAATCCTTTAGGGTTAATCTTTGAACCCCTTTGCGACCTTAGCTTCATAACCCTTTTTGCTTTTCTTATTCCATTTTTTAATTCTCTCTTTAATTGAATATATTGATTTTTTAAAACTCCCCATCCCTCTTTTGATACGCCTATATATGCCTCTCTTTTCCAGTGAGATGTTTTAATCTACTGTTCATCCATTTGGGGATCATTTTTGTTAGATCTAATTTCCCTACTCGGTACAAAATTGTCTGGGCAGCTAGAACAAATGCTCTGATAAAGTCATATTGGCAACCAAGATCACCTACCTGACCCATAGTCAGGTCATCCCAATTTGGGCCCACCCACGTAATTTTTCAGTCCCAGTTATTGTTATCTGGGTAAATTCCATGATATATTAAAATTTAAGTGATTTGTGTCATTTTCCCCCAAGCTCTCATTAACCTCAAGATTATTAATTAGTGAATCTTTTTTTGACAAAAACCAAGTCAAGCAGATTGTTTCCTCTAGTTGGTTCTGTCACAACCTGTTCTAAAAAGCAATCCTGAACCGTATCAAGAAAGGGCCCATTAGACTCAAGATTTTCCGTCATATTGTTCCAATCAATTTGTCTAAAGTTAAAATCTCCCATTATAACAACATTTTCATATCTAATGCCTTATGAATTTCGTCCCATAACAGCTTACTGCACTCCCTATCAAGGTTTGGGGTCCTATAAATCACACCCAAAATTAATTTGTCATGCCCCTCGAGAAACTGTAGCCAAACAATTCTGTGTTCGATGCTCTAATCTTATATCATGTCTAAGACAACAATTTAAATTTTCTCTGACATACATCGCCACTCCCCCACCCTTCTGTTGACCCTGTCAGTGTGGAATAGTTTATAACTTGTATGTTGCATTCAGAAGGCATTTCTCTATCTTTCGGGTTGAACCAGGTCTCTGTTATCCCAAATTATTATCTATATTACCACACTTACAAGTAATCTTAGCTCATCTATCTTATTTCTTAGATCCTATATTTGTATAGTAAACCTTAAGGGAGCTAGTCACTCGTTGCCCTCTACTATCTCTCTTTGTTTGTTGATCAATTGATTTGCCATTACTAACAACTTTATTTTGAATATTGTCTTTTAAACATATCCCTGAGGTATCCCGGTAATAACTGCTTTTTTAACCCTAATGCTGCAGCCTGATTGTTTCTCACAAACACCCATACCTCTATAATCTATCAGTTTTAAAACTCCTAGACAAGTCATCAATTTCCTTCTCAATTGAATTGGCTAATGCAAACCACTCCATCCCAGAGGGGATGAACCCCATCCCTTGCATACATATCACGTTTGCCAAAGAAAGGCCCCAGTTACAATGAATGGGATTGCAAGTTCCTTGCAGTACCTGTCTAGCCAGCAATTTATACCAATTGCCCTAGACACATTCATTTGCCCACTCCCTTTCTAGGCAAGATGCTACATATGACTGGGATCCCCCCTTAGACCTAACTACTTCTATGGCTAAACCTGTATTTATCCATGAGATATTTACAGTACTAAGCTTTAATAACCCTTTAACATACCATTTACTTAACATTTTGCGCATAATAATATTTAACCTTCTAGGAAAATATATATAGGTTTATTCAGTAGTAACTAATCATAGAAATTATTAATACAGTTTTAGGAACTAAAATAGGTAGGTTTTAGCTTAATGTAGGAGAATTAAAGAGCTGATGATTTATAATTTGAATCAAGAGATGTTGCTCTTCAGTTGCTGCTCAAACATCAAAACATTAACGGCCAGAACACCGGCAAAAAACTCACTTGGCTGGGGAAATAAAAAACCTTGAGCGGTTTCCCAAAGTATAGGATACTCATCCCTATCAGGCACACCCCGCAGCGAGACGATTCTGCAGTTCCTAGCAATAGTCGGCCGACATTCTGGTGAAAAGTAGGTTAGGCATCTGTGGGTAAAGGGCAGCTGGACACACAGAGATTGAAGTCCCTCCCGAGGTGTCCTGAGGGGGAGCACCGATAAAACCACCAAACCATACCCCGGCCGGGATTGAACCCGTGGTCAGAGAGTCTCAAAACTCCAGACCGTCGCGTTAGACACTAACCAGCTAGCCACAATAAGATTCGTCCAACTAGGTATATTTCTACACCATAGGAAGGTTAGCATAGGCCCCACTGTGACCCACAAATGCAAGTTTTTACAGACGAATCTCCAGCTAGCGTGGCCGTGACGACTCTAGCTCAAGCCCCCTCACTGCCGTCAACATGACTCACGAAATCATAATGACACGATTGAAAAACAAACCTTTACCCCGGCCGGGTTTGAACCCGCGCAGAGAGTCTCAAAACTCCGACCGTCGCTTTGGGCCACTAGACCAGCTAGCCACAATAAGATTCGTCCAACTAGATATATTTCTACACCATAGGAAGGTTAGCATAGGCACCACTGTGACCACAATGAAAGTTTTTACAGACGAATCTAGTGGCTAACGCGACGGTCTGGAGTTTTTGGACTCTCTGACCGCGGGTTAAATCCGGCCGGGGTATGGTTTTGTTTGCAATCGTGTCATTACGATTTCGTGAGTCATACCACCAAGTAAGTCAACTCTATGTTTTATTCTCATATCACAGCAGCGGTAATTGGAATTTTGTTGCAAGAGCCATTTGTAAGCCTTGGAGAACACCCGGGGTGTCTGTGTCAACAGTTCTTGCAAATTTTTCTAGCTTAGAAATGGGCAGTTTGCACAGAAATTTCAAAACGTATAAGGTATACAGACCTAGCTAATACCAGTGACATACTACTATATAGAAACCGCTTGTTTTTGCTGAGCATTTCAGGAAATTAGGTCATATTTGTCCAGTATGCCCAACCCACACGTCGACTAACACCCAGGTACCCATTTTACACTGATGGGTGAACAGGGCGTCCCTAATGTTTTTCATCCATACCAGAGGAGATTCGAACTCCCGGGCCTCAGTATGTGAGATGAGTGCACTAGCGATCGTTGCTACAGGGACATAAGACACTCTTTCTGATTTTAATGTGTACTTGCATGCCAGTACAGTATGTAAGTTTACTTTAAATACAGGTACAAAAGTATAATTATCACAGTTAAAATATAAATTTGAAATGCTTCAAAACAATTGAAATTTTGGAAAGTTTTCAGAGATAATATAATATAAACTATGTTTTCTTATTTTCATTTTACTAGTAATCAATTTTGTACATCAATTATCCTAATTGTTATTGGTACTGTACTTCACTATTTTAAAATAAAGTTTGGAATCCTAATTCCCAGGGTGTGACCCACAACAGTCATACCAACAGACATATCGTATCCCAGGATGTGACCCACAACAGTCATACCAAGACATATCGTATCCCAGGGTGTGACCCACAACAGTTTATACCAAGACATATCGTATCCCAGGGTGTGACCCAACAACAGTCATACCAAGACATATCTTTTCCAGGATTTACCACAACAATCAACCAAGCATTCGTATCCCGGTGTGCCACAAAAACAGTCATACCAAACATATCGTATCCCAGGGTGTGACCCACAACAGTCATACCAAGACATATCGATCCCAGGATGTGACCCACAACCAATCATACCAAAGACATATCGTATCCCCGGATGTGACCCCCAACAATCATACCAAGACATATCCGTATCCCAGGATGTGACCCACAACAATAACCAAGCCTATCGTATCCCCGGATGTGCCCCAACAGTCATACCAACAGACATATCGTATCCCCGGGTGTGCCCACAACAATCATACCAAAGACATATCGTATCCCCGGATGTGACCCACAACAGTCATACCAAAGAATATCGTATCCCAGGATGTGACCCCCAACAGTCATACCAAGACTATCGTATCCAGGGTGTGGGCCCACAACAGTCATACCAAGACATATCGTTTTCCCCGGATGTGACCACAACAATCATACCAAAGACATATCGTACCCAGGATGTGACCCACAACGTCATACAAAATATCGATCCCAGGTGGACCCACAACAGTCATACCAAGCATATCGTACCCAGGTTGACCCACAACAGTCATCCCAAGGACTTCGTATCCCCGGATGTGACCACAACAATCATACCAGACATATGTATCCAGGGTGTGACCACAACAGTCATCCAGACATATGTATCCAGGGTGTGACCCACAAATCTACCCAAAAAACTATCTCCAAATTTTTAATCACATCAAAATAAAATTCTCTATGGGTAAACATAACGCCCGCCCATTTAACTCAGAACCAGTGTATATCAGTGATCGGACTTTGTTTCCTGCTTTTAGTGATTTAGTTGGGATAGCAGAGGATTTTAGTAGTTTTCACTGGAATCACTAATAGGCTTAGAGTTTGTGGTTAGCTGAAGATTTAATAGTAGGGGAAGTTATTCAATTATTTACTGATACAAGAGTTGAATGGACTTCATTTGTTGTTGAACGAGTCTTTTTTATGAGAGTTTATAACATAAGGAACATTAGATAACTGTAGTCAAAAATTATGAAAAATATAAAAAATTAGAGCAGGTTTGTTAACATATTTAAGTATAAAGAGTAAGCAATCATTTAACAATGAATATTATGGTGATCTGTTATATTTTAATATTAGTAATGATTACATGAAAAGGAAACTCACAAAGACTTTCAACTTACAGTTAACTTCTTGAGAGGTATTTCATAGTAATTCTCTCAACTTTCTCCATGATGGTGGAGCCAGAATCTTCCAGGACAGGGACAGTTGTGGCACCTTCTTGTGGTCATGTCCCGAGCTTCTTGATAGTCTCCTGCACCTGTTATCATCAACATAAATATTAATGGTGGATGCCAGCAACAATCTAGTTCTTAATAATGTTGGTAGAATTACCAACAAATTTAGGTAAAAGTACGACTAAAAAAGACATTTTATTGTGGCAACGTTTCACTCAACAGGAGCTTTGTTAAGCCCTTACAAACAATAGAGGGACACAGAGGGTATATATAGGTGTGTTGTGAAGCATAATATAATCATGTAGGTGAGTATAGTGATGGTACAGTAGTAGTATACTTTGATAGTAGTAGTAGTTTTTGGGAGTAGAGTGTACTTTATGATAGTAGTGTACTTATGGTAGTAGCAGTAGTCATGACAGTGTAGTGGGAGAGCTTTTGTGGCGGGTTTATTGATCTGGGAGAATTCTTGCTAATATTTCATAGATGATTTAAGCTGTCTTTATTCTGTTTGTTTTAGAAATAATAAAGAATGATGATTCAAGGCATTTACTTCTACAGAAATTTGGGTTCTTTAATCACCAGGCGGGTGTTGTGAATTCCATTATGTGGGGACCCCTGGGGGCCTGGTGGGTTTAAAACTCTCGCTTCACACGGCGAGGGCCTGGGTTCCCATTCCCAGCAGAGTAGAAACTTGGGCCTGTTTCTTTCCACCTGTTGTCTATGTTCCCCCTCATCCATGGACTGCTTGCAGAGTCAAAAGCAATGTTTGTGGCTTTCACAGAGACCCCCCATAAATGATCACTGGGGCAACGAAAAATGGATCCCAGGTTACAACCTATACAGATGCGACAGAGTGAATAGGCAAAGGGGGATGGGAGGTTGGCCTGTATATCACAGAGTCACTTATTTGCACAGAACTCTAAATGCCTCAAATGATGCAGTTTAAGTTTTAGCAGTTAAAAATGGAGAACCAAAATTGGTCATTGTGGTAGTTTACAAGCCTCCAGATGCAACGTCCCAACAATTATAGGAAGAGCTGTTGAAAATTAACCACTGTCTGGAAAATCTTCCAAACACTCCTGCCCCAACATCTTGCTCCTGGGGATTTCAACTTAAGGCACCTAAAATGGAGGAATATAGCAAATAATGTTGTTGGGAGTGTAAAACCAGGAGGCAGCTCGGTGAGAACTCACACACACCCCGAGCTTTTAAATCTCTGCACAAAATTCCCTTAAACCAGCAAATAATAGGCCTACTAGATTGGAGAATTTCATGGACCTCATCTTCACTAACAATGATGACTGATAAGAAATGTCACCATATCAAAAACAATATACTCAGATCACAAAAATTAATCGAGGTTCAAACATGTATGCGTGGAGCCCCAGACAGACAAAATGCGATCAATCACAAGGGAGCCTTTACCAAATTCAACTTCACTAACAAGAACATAAAGTGAACAATGTAAAAACCAAGTCCTAAATGATATAAGCTGGGAAGATAGCCTAAAACAACACAGACGCCAACTTATGGGCCCAGAACAGATTAACTCTGTGGCACTCGATGTATGCTCGAGGCATTTTTCCTTTAAGAAAAGGGGATAGATGTAAAATAGAAAGGATAGGCGCTCCCTTTACAGGTGACGGAAAAGAATAACAGAGCAGCTAAAAGAGGCCAATTTATCTGCAATGCATAGGGAGACACTGGTCAGAAAAATAGCAAACATTGATCTGAAGCTAATGGAATCTTATAGGTGTCAGGAATCGCAGGAAGAACTAAAAGCCATTTAAAAGAAATCGAAAGAAAACCAAGATTTCTTTTCTTATGCCAATCAAAGTCGAGAACAACATCAGTATTGGGCCCCTTTCTAAACTAATGAGTTTTCATAGATGACTGGTCAAGAGATATTCGGGTGTTGTTGGTAATTCGTTTAAACAGGTACAACATAATGAATTTCTAGCTGCAAAGAGCCAAAACACACAATTAGGTGCACATCGATGTTGTGAGTACACGTTGTCCTCCTAGTCCTGATATCTTGCCCCATAGTATGGACGGAAATCTCAGTGGGTGTGCATTGCCCTCCGGAGAATTGTGACTGTTAACTTACCCTAATGGGAGGTAAACTGTGTTCGTCGGCTCACGCTCTCTTTGTTTACATCACGTTTCTCTGCTCACCTAGGCAGTGCACGGCGCTGCCCAACCCGCCAAATTGACTCACTCTGTGTCACCCATCTCATCCCATACCCCCCAGTTTCCAGCGGGAAACCTCACTCTGGGACATTTCCCATAGGGTTGCTGGGGGACCGGGGGGGTTGTCGCTGTGTCGGCGACGTGGGGGTGGTCGCTGTATCGGCCACTGGTACCTGAGGAGCTCACTGTTCTGTGCGCACTACATGCTGGGGTGAGTAGGGTTTCGGGAGGCGGGGAACAGGGTGTGGTGGCAAGGGCTGGTTGGAAATTTGGGCCCGCCCCTGAATGTGGCGGAAGAGCCGCCGATTGTGCAAAGTAATCTGTCACGAGCCATCTACTTTGACCAAGAACTGGTCATACGGCTTCAGCTTCACTACCGCACTGGTCCTGTCATATCTCGTGCTGGGGATTTCCAGTTTGGTTTTGCAGAGGCACTCGATTGCGAGCACTGAGGGGGGGGAAAATGACAGTTGTGGTGCTGTAGATCATCGACTTATTTGGCGAAAACTTTGCCAGAGGGCCCTTTCTTGCATACCCACGTTTGATGCCACACGGGGTGAATCAATGGTTGGTGAACACCTGTGTTCCCGAGCAAAGGGTAGCAGATCCCGAAGATTCTTGCCAAAGATGATTTGTGTGGTGGCATATGGTCTGAGGGTCTGAGAAACTGAAGCATGCCGGCAGTCACCGCCTCTGTATCGAGACTCCCATTTGCATCCATGTGCGATGTCAGTAAGCGCTTCATAGATTTGACAGCTACCTCTGCCCCCCCGTTGGACTGCGGGTGGTGAGCCCATGAAAGGCGATGGCTCACTCCCATTGTCGCAGAAGTGACTCCGTGTCTTTTTCGGTGAACTCCGGCCTCCGTCTATGCTTAGTTCTTTAGGAGCACCAAATGTTGCAAAGTTAATTGAGAAGAGCTGGATGAAGCCCCCTTGGCGCCCGACTGGATGTGACAATGTGTGGCCAGCCACTGAATCTGCCACGATGACTAGGTACCCAATGCTGCACGCCCACACAAAATTCAGCAGCGATGGATTGGAAGGGGTTGCTTGGCACAAATGGTTGTACAGGGGGCATACAAGGCTGGATGGGTGACATTCCCCAGCAGGCATGGCACCTGGAAAAATGTATCTCAATGTCTTTGGTGATGCCTGGCCAAAAGAGGTGCCTACTGCTCTAAGAAGCAAGATCGCCACCCATCTAAAACCCATCAGTTACACAACCCAGGGCAACATGGGTTTAGAGCAGGTCACTCCTGCCTGTCTCAACAATTTGGGTCACTACGAAAAAGGTCCCAGATGCACTAGAAGACAAAAAGAATGCAGATGTAAAAATACAGACTTGCAAAAAGCTTCGACAAGCGTGACTAGGGCGTAATAGCGCACAAAATGCGTGCTAAAGGAAAACCAGGAAAAGTTGGTAGATGGATCTAATAATTTCCCCCACAAAAGAACACAAAGAGTAGTAGTCAACAGAGTAAAGTCCCAGGCGGCTACGGTGAAAAACTCTGTTCCACAAGGCACAGCTCGCTCCATCTTGTTCCTCTCCTCCCTATCTGCCAGCAAGGTT